GTCTTTTACTTTGAGTCTTTTTCATTTTCTCCTCATCTTGTAAATGTCTTTTTAACATTAAACATACTTTGTGCCTTTTGTAACAACAATAATCAAATATGTTTTATCAATAGAAAGGCCAAAAAGAAAGAGCATCCATCCTTTATCATCCTTTCATCATCATCATAATCTACATCATCTAAATCATCTTCATCTTCATCTTCATGTTGATCTTTATGTTGATCATATTGATGATGATTTTTGTTGTTTAAGTGGTTTGATGAATAATCGGAAATCAGGTTGAATGATTGTTGTTGTTGTTCAATAATAATAAAAATGTTACTATTAAGTTGAAAGTTTTTATCATTAACTTGATTTTATTTCATCTTTTTAATGGACAGTTGAACAAAAGCCAATCAATATAATCGTTGTCATCGTGTCCAGTTAGTTGTATGTCTATGGATTTATGTGAGTGTGTGGATATTGGTCAGTATAAGAATCATTTTTATGTTAAATCATTAGGATACCAGAAGAAAGAGGAAAAGATGGAGAGAGAGAGAGAGAGAGAGAGAGAGAGAGAGAGAGAGAGAGAGAGAGAGGAGGTGGATGAAGAAGGAGGAGGAGGAGGAGGTTGAAGAAGACGAAGAAAATGAAGAAGAAGATGAAGAAGAGGGAAAACTGTCCCAGATTAAGATGAGGTAGCAGAAAGAAAGAGAAATGTAAGTAACTATGATGGCGAAAGTAGTGTGGGTGGGACAGAGATAGTGAATTCGCTTCTGGGAATCATAAACCTTAGAGTACAGGAGAAGAGGGAAAGGGAAAGGGCGAGAGTAGAAAATGATGAGATTGAAGAAGATGCTGAGAGATAGATGATGATGATAAGCAATATAAAATGGGAGGAGAAAGTGGGTGAGAGAAAAAAGTAGAAAGAAAAGTAAAGAAAGAGAAAAGAAAGAAAAAAGAAAGAGAAAAGTGAAAGTGAATCAAAATTGTTCAGCCTCGAAAGAAGAAAAGTAGATAGATGGAACGGAGAGAGTTCAGATAAAGAAGAAGAAGAAGAAGTGATGATGATGATAAAGGAAAAAAAGGATGAGCAACGCAAAAGAAGAAGAAATGTAGAGAAAGAGAAGAAAAGAAAGAAGAAAAGTAGATAGATGAACCGGAGAAGAAGGAAAAGCAAGATGGAAGAATCAGAAAAGAGCAGGTCGATGGATGAAGATAATGATGATGAAGAAGAAGATGAAGTAAAAAGGAAACAGGCCAAAAAGAAGATGATGGAAAGTAGAGAAAAAGAATAGCACAAAGACGATGATGAGGATGTTGAAGAAAAAAAAAGTGCAACAAAAAGAGAAATAAACCGTAAAAGAAAAATACAACGTATAACAGGACCATCATCATCATTATCATCTTTCGGATGAGAAAAAAGGAGAAAATGATGGGAAGAAAGATGAGGATGATAAACGTAGAAGAAGAAAACATAAACAACAGAGAGAAAGAGGGAGGAGAGAGAGAGAGATGAGGATGATGAAGAAAAGGTCAAGGACTTAAATAGGATAAATATTTTTCTCTGAAAGAGAAAGACAGAGACAGAGAAGATCATGATAAATATGAGATGGCAAAGATGCTACTGATGAAGATGATGAGCAAGTGAGTAAAAATTGTTGCTGGTTTTTAAGATGATGATAAGAAGAGAGAGAGAGAGATAAACCGAAATTAACCAGTTTTCTTTTTTTTCTTTTCTTCTCTTTCATCATCTTCCCTCTCTCTCTGTTTTACTCCTTCATTGATTCAAATTCATTAAGGATGATGGATGTTAAAGATTGCAAAGGTTGATATTTGCTGAAGATAGTGAGATGATGATCATCATCCAGGACCATTATGATGATGATACTTTACTCTGATTCATTTCCATCTCTCCCCCTGTGAGTGTTATACCATTTAGAAGCTAAAATTTAATTACCAGAGATGAGCAAAAATCCATGATATCCCATCGACTAAGTGTATTTAGACCCAACAGTCAACAGAAACAGTTTAAGAAAATGATGATGATATTAATTTGATTAGCTAATTGTTTAGGTAATTACAGTTAAACTGAGCACAATTGGTGATGATTCAGTTTTTTTCATCTTCTTCAAGTTTATATAGTAGTAGTTATCCTTGAAAATGATGATGAGAAAGATGAAAGATGATAATGTTATCTCTCCATCTCACTCTTTTCTCTCTCTCACTCACTCACTCACTTTATAGATACTTGTAACTATACAGAAACTTTTGTATCTGTGTAAAAGTTACAGAAGAAAAAAAAAGTTAACCTGTAAAGGTGAGAACCTGCCTCTTGCTTTCCTGCCATTGGATCATTTTTTTGCCACTAACCTGTAAATCTTTACCTTTACCTGTACTACCTTTAGTATCCCCACCCATTGGAAGATGAAGGATGAAGAAAAAGAGAAGAGGAGGAAGATAACAAGTTTATCTTCTTGGTTTTTTCTCTCTTTCTCTCTCACTCACTATTTCTTGCGTCACAATCAGAGAAAAAAAAAGAGAGAGAAAGTGAGAGAGAGAGACTTGAGAGACTAAGTTAATTATAGTTGAGTGAAGATGAAGATGAAGATGAAGATAAAAGATGATAAAAGGTAAGAACAGGTTAGTGATGAGCCAATCACAGTTGATAGATTTCAGAGTCTCTTGAGTTTGGAATGAGTTTTATTTTTAACTTTGATTGTTTACTAACATGAAATGATGATGATGATTGATGACAATCAATGAGTTTCAATACAACAGCAAACGATTCGCAGTAAATATAATAACAATATTAACTAACCTGAGTTAAGGTCAATTTGATATATTTAATAATAATGATTAAGGTTAAATTGCCTTAAGGAGTAATAAGGTTACCAAGGTAAGATTATTTTGGATTGTTATTGATTATTGATTATTATGTTTACGTTAAATGATTATGATGATGATGAAATTTGAGGTGTAAGGTGAAAGTTACTATTTTGTTTTTCCTCCTCTCAGAGTGAGTGGGGTGGATCTTTTTTTTCCACCTTTCATGTGAAATCTACTTTATCTTATATTGACATGAAAGATTTACTGTTATTTATTCACTAGTGGGATACTTGATGTAAAGGTGAATATTCATGGTAATAAGATCTGTGGATTCATTGTTACGAGGTGGAGATGATGATGGTGATGATGGTGAGAAAAATAGATTCATCGATCCATAAGAAAGTGAAACATTTTTCACTTTTTTTTTCTATTCTTCTTCATCTACTCACCTGTGTAAGTGAGTATCTTTTTTCATGGTGAATTAGGTTCACCTTAGTTTACAATTCAAATAACGAACCACAAATAACATTTAATCAATCAAAAGAGTTTACTTTTTGTCAATCAACTTACATCATTATCATCATAAGAAAAGGGAACAAGATGAACAGGAAAAGGTAAATCTTATCATGTAAACTTATCATCCTCATCATCATCATCTTCTTCCTCTTCTCTCTCCATCCCTTTATCTCTCTCTATTTATTTACTCTTGTCTCTCTCTCTCTCTCTTTTTTTCTCCCTCTCCTTGTCTTTTTGCTCTCTTCTTCTTATTATTGAACAGTAACAACACTTTACTTTGATTTTTAATTACACTTTCAATCAAATAATAGACTCTTTGTTTAATTAAGAAAATCAGTGAATAAGAGAGGATAAGGATAAGGATAAAGAAGAGAGGAGATGATGATGATGATGATGATGAGAAGAATAAAGATGATGAAGGAAAAGGTGAGAAAAGATAAATGTTAAACTGTGGATTGAATAACAAGAAGATTGAATAATGAGTTTGAATTAAACTTTTTTCATATAAACTAATAAAGGGATAGAAATAAATTCCCAGTGACCGATCAGGTTTAATATAATAAATTGTATTAGTTTCGGATGATGTCAAACCTGGGAAGTAAAAGTGAAGGAGGAGGATGATGATAATGATGATGAGATTGAGGATTAATTTGGGGATAAATTAAGAGGGGAAAGAGAAAACGGTAAAGAGAGAGAGAGAGAGGAGGTAAATGAGGTAGCAGCCGAGGTGATGAGGTAGTTGAAAGAAAGAAAGGAGGAGGAGGAGGTAGAACAGGAGAGTGAGAGAGAGAGAGAGAGAGAGAGGTAGATGACGAGAAGATGAGAATGAGAGAGAAAGAGAGGAGGAGGAAAAGATGAATAGGAGGAGGAAAGATGAAGAGGAGAGGAGGAGGAGGATGGAGAAAAAAGAAGAAAATAAAAGAAAGAAGATGACGAAGATGATAAGAATGATGTTGTTGGTGATGATGATGAAGATGATAAAATAAGAGTAGACAAGCCAAAAGAAAGACTCCCTCTCTCTTTTACTCTACCATTTTTTTGTATGTTAACAATAATAAAAGCAAATAATAAAAATAAAGGTTACTTTTCATTATAATATATTTGAATATAAATGTTGATGTCGCATTGATGATAACAACAAACTCTTACCACGTGCCCAAGGTACTCTCTCTCTCTCTCTCTCTCTCTTTACTCAACCTCAAACCTGCGTAACGCGTGCTTAAGACTTGAAGAAAGAGAAGAAAAGAAAGAGAAAAAGAAGATAAAAGAGCGAAAAGGAGAGAGAGAGAAACAAATAAATATAATAGAATAAGTTTCACTGATTTTTACAGTTACTTCATCTCTCTCTCATTCAACCTTGCTCTTGTTTTCCTATTACAAAAAAGATCCCAGGTTTGACTTTATATCCATCATAGGGAAAAAAGTAAAGGTTAAAATAAATTAACGGATCTTTCTCTCTCTCTCTCTCTCCATCATTATCTTCATCTTCATCCTCATCTCCTCTTTTTCTCCATCCTCATCATCTTCTCATCAATAGAAGAAGAAAGAGAACAAGAAAGAAAGAGGACCTCCCTCACTCACTCATTTGCTCACTCGTTTTCTATTCCATTGACTCAGTCGCTGTTTGCAAGGATCATGTTCATGTTGTAATTTTCTGTGTGCAGTGAAAAAACTAAATTTTCACTGAGTAAAAAAGTTCCAATGTGTTTATCCCATTCACTAAAATGACTTTAACACCAACATCATTTTTTGGTAATCACATTTTTTTATATTTATTTGTGTTTCTATTAATTTCAGTTTACAATCTTACACCTCCCACTCTCGCCATCACCACCACAACCAACACCACCACAATCACCGATACCAACACCAACACCACCACGAACACAATCATCACCAACAAAACTACAACAATCACCACTACCTTACCAACTTTTACCTTTAATTTACCTTCTTATCCACCTACTCCACCTATTTGTCAACCTTTAGTGGTTTCAATTGATTAGATTAACAAGAAAAACAAAACAAAATCTAATCTTGTGTTTTAAGTCCCGTTATTTATATTTAAAACATTGTGATCGACAATTTTTTCCCATTCACCTGAATTTATTGGATCATCATCGAGCCATCATCACCTTTTAAACCCTCATCTATCATCTTGTAACCTTTACCATCTCATAATCCATTATCTTCATCACTCTCATCCTCATCTTCATCATCTTGAATATCTTCAGGTATATTAATACATTATTATTTATCTTCTTCTACTAATATTACACCTTAAGTTTTATTTTCTCTCTCATTCTCTGTATATATTTAAATGTGTGTGTGTTTACCTTAATCATCATGAAGATAATCAGATAAGAAGATAATATTTCAGAAACATTTTCACTCTTTCCTTTACCTCCTTAACAAGATATACACTTAACACCATCATCATCATGATCATCATCATCATCACCACCTTCAATTACACCTCATCCTCTAATCTTCATCTTTTTTTTTAAAAAAAATACATGAAACAACAACAAGAGATCAACATCAACCACATCAGTTCATCACCAGAAAAAAAACCTTTACAACTAATTGAATTAAATTGAAGTTAATTGAATTGAATTGAATATAATTGAGCTAAATTGTTAGAGATCTTTGAAAGTATAGTAAATGATTTGTAGGAAAATAAAAGAGATACAGGGTATCCCTTACAAGGAGATGAGAAAAACAAAATTCTTTTCCACCTTGGAACATTTTTCGAAGTAATTTTTTTTTCTTTATTTCTTCCTCTTCGAGTTAGAACAATTTTATTCATTTTCTGTTTTCTGTTCACTCATAACTGAATTTTCATTTTATTCAATTGATGAAAATGAAGAGAAACAAAAAAAAAATGAGCAGAGAGAAATTGTCATCATGATGATGATGGTGATAAATTCATCTACAGAATGATGATAATTACCCCTGAAAGCAAAGGAACTGAATCTCATTGATATTATCTAATAACAAGAACACAACTTGAATATTAGTTTAAAATGTTAATAGACACGGAAGTTTATTTCCAAAGGTTCATCAGAACGTTATAAAATCCACCCTCTACCTTTACATTTCCATCCTCATCCTCATCCTCATCTTCATCGTTCATTAAATTATCTAATGATGAGGATGATTATTATTACTATGATTATATAACTAATTTGAAAAGATTCATTGAAATGAATTCTCATCATTATTCAACCCTGTTTCTTATCATGTTCATAATCGGATGTTTAACAACAATTAACCCTCAAGCAGTAACCATTGTGTGTCTTCAATCATCAACCTCATCATGATGAATTTGATTAAATTCATCATGAATCATGATAATGATTTGTTTTAATTACCGTAAGGCTTTTTTTTTTGCTTTGTTTATTTGTTGATTGTTGTTATTTTTAATTTTCTTAAACGAGAAAACCAAAAGTAAACTGATATTTATTTTTCCCATTGAAAAACCTTTACTTTTATCAATAATCAATATTATTATTATTTAATTGATTGTGTATTAAGTTGCTAATTGTTTGGATATATAAATTGTTATTATGGAGTAAAAGTTTACTTTAAATATTTAATTGTTGTTATTTGATTGTAGAGTTTGATTGTTTTAACAATTTCCAGCCAATTATGATCTTTCATCAAGATTTAATTGTCTCCTTAATTGTTATTTTTAGTTGTGCATTTAATTTGTTGGCAGAAGGTGAAAACTGATATTACTTTGATTATTGTTATTGATTAACAATTAACAATGTAAGATGAAGATGAACAAGATGATGATGATGATGATGATAATGATCACTGATTGTCTTTGTAAAGCCTAATTAAGACAATCAGTTAATTAGCTTCCAAAAAATTGTCATATGAGTGTGTGAAAAAAAAGCCCAGCGAATAGGAGGAAAAGCTAAAAGTTCACATGGACACACCGAGTGTCACATAGAGATGATGATAAAAAGAATATAAGAAATTCTCTTCTTCCTTTGGTGTTTTTTTCCTGAGCAGTGAAAAACGCCCTTGGAATCACAGAGGAGAGAAAAAGGAAATTGAAAATTATTATCATAAGAAACATGAGAGCGAAAAAAAAAGAGACGGTGGAAATTTTTTCCTCTCTCTCTTCCTCCTTATCCTCCCACCTTCAGAATAATATGAAAAACTTTTCGAGTTCAATGTTTTAGTTTGATAAATGATCAACAATTAGTATTCATCATCATCAACAACAATTATCATCATTATTTAATCGAGTTGATTTCATGATCTGTCTTCAATTTTGTGATACTTAAAGCTAATCCTTTTGTTGACAATTTATCCCTTGATGGAAAAGCAAATGATGATAATATTTTCATTACATGGGAAGTTTGAATAGTTTGATTATTTCAGTTAATTTCAACTGAGTTTCATCATCATCATCATGATTATGGTTGAAAAGGTGTAACCTGGCAATTGGATTTCCAAAGGTGTGTTATGAGTTTATCATGTTGTTGATGATTGGAATTAATCTAGAAATGAATGAATTATCCTTATTGCTGAGAATGAGGTGTAATTATCATGATAGAAATATAATATTTATGTGAAACATTTTGAGTCAATTTAGATGATAGACTTTTGGATAAATAATCTTTCAATGATTCTGTCAATTATTATTATTATTATACAGGAATGATGATGATGATGTTTCTTCATCTTCATGATAGTATTCACATTCCATCTTTATTCATGTAGTTCAGGGATTAATAGTAAAATCTACTGTTCATTATAATTGATTGGGAAGGTTAAGGAATCACCGAGAAGGTGGGAAAATGGTGGTGGAAAGTGGGTGGATAAGGAGGAGAGAGAGAGAGAGAGAGAAGAAATAAATAAATTTACTCTATCAAACATATAAATAAATATTATATCTGGTCAATATAATATCGTCTGAAGAGATGACCACTGAGTGAGAGAGAGAGAGAGAGAGAGAGAAATAGTTGATTTAAACACAGTGAACCTTCAAAGTGAAAGTTTTTTTCATTAAATCAACAGTAAATAAGTTTGACTGAGCAAATGATGATGTTACTACTTTCAAGGAGGAAAGTGGGTGGTGATGGTGGTGGTAGATCAAGTGATGAGGATGCTACTAAAATGATGATGAAAATGATGTGACTATTTGTTTGTCCAAATCTATCAAAAAGTTGTGTCTTCTTTTTTTATTATTATCAGTTATCAAAAAAGGCTCATGTTTGAGGAAGATGATGATGAGGATGAGGATAAAGGTGTAGGTGATGATGATGAAAAAAAATAGATTAACTTGACTATTTACTGATGAGAAAAGTTTACTTACATCCAGTTGACTTCCTTTTTGAAGATTCCAATGCATCCCAATAAAAGTATGAATCTCTTATCCTCATCATCATCATCATCATCATCATCTTCGTCTCTCCATCTCTATACTTACCTTTCATTTAACTATTGCCAAAATGTGATGCAGGATTTTTCATCCTCCTCCTCATCATCTACACCTTCTTTCTCTCTTTCTCTTTCTCTCTCTCTATCCATCTTTTTCCTCTGTCTTTATGATACATCACAACTTCTAGTTACAAGAAAGATAAAGATAAAAATGATGAAGATGATGATGATTCCCTTTTGATCCTAACCTTTATCAGGAGAAATTTGGTCAATCAGTGAAAAAGAAACATCCAAAAATATCATATGTATGTGACAAGTTTATATTCGAACTTTTTTTTTCTTTTTCTCTTCTTCTTCATCTTCATCTTCTCCGCCTTCATCTTCTCCTCCTTCTTCCTTCCTCTCTCTCTCTCTCTCTCTCTCAATCTTCTTCTCCCTCTTTTCCTTTTCCTGGTCTCATCTTTAATGTTATTTGTAACTACTACTATTTGTTACTCTCAAATCTCATCATCATCATCATCAGAAATTAATCTCATAGATTTTATATCCACAATCTTATTTACTTTTTTTTCATCTTCTTCTGTGTTGATATCAATTATTACCCAACAAGATTTAACTTAATCATTTATCATTAACCATTTAATAAGTTAACTAACTCACTGATTCTCATTCATTTAATTTCAATTAATCATGTACCTTTTTCATGGTGGGGTGGTAATGATGAAGATGATAAGTCGAGATGAAAGATACAATGATGATGATGAATTTCAGGAGAGAGAAAAATGTAAACGAAAAATTTTTTTTTCTTCTTCCAACATGGAAAAAGTAGTTCACACAATCATGAGATAGAATTTTTTTTTCCAATGAATAAGAATGAACCGAAAAAAGAATTCACTTTTTTTCGTCGGAATTTTTTCCAAGAGATAATCTCAGGGATAATCTAATGGTCCAATTTATTTACTGCTCTTTTTTTTAATCTTTCCTTTTTCTTTGGAACCGGTTACTCTGATTATTGTAAACTCGATTTAAAAGTCAACTCGAAGACCGTTCAGTCTATTGGATTAAAGGATTATCTCTCTCTCTTAAAGATGAAGAGTCCGACAAGAGATAATTGCACCTTGTTCATTACCAATTACACCTTTGAATCAGTTGTTTTTTCCTGCAAATCTCTTGTCCCTTTTGTACATTCACGAGTGAAAGTTAATCGTTTAAATATTACCAGAGATCAACAAATCCAAATTTAATCCCATGACTTAATTAAGAAAAAGAAAAACAATTTACCGACATTTTCTCAGCTTCTAAAAGCTAATTCTAATTTTCTTCTTCTTCTCTCTCTCTCTCTCTCTCATCCCTATCTTCCAATCATCATACAACACCTCCTCTTCCTCATCCTCATCACTCTATCATCATCTTCTTACAGATACAAAATCAGTGGCTTCTTGTTTTACTTTGATGTTTTTAATTTAATTTCCAATGTTGACCAAAGTCATTTAAACGATACCTGGTTTATCAACCTTAAACATTGAAAGTTGTCTTAATTGTGATCAAATCTAAACAATCACCCAACAAACACCCATAATGGATACAACAACAACACCAACAACCAAAACCCAAACACCAGCGACTAAATCACTTACAGATCGTAAATTTAAGTGTCCCGAATGTGGTAAAGCTTTTAAATTCAAACATCACCTCAAGGAACACATAAGAATCCACTCAGGTGATAAACCCTTCCAATGTTCCCACTGTGGTAAACGTTTCTCCCACTCTGGATCATATTCATCACATTTAACAAGTAAAAAATGTTTCAAAGTTAATCTCAAAGTGTCCAACACCAACACCAACATAAACACCACCAACAACAACCACAATCACAACCAAAACACCAACAAAAACAACAACAATATTAACCATGTAAACGATAATAATAATAACAGTATAATGAATACCTCAACTAATGGTAGTGTCAATGGCAATTTAATTTCTCCTAGTGCTGTTAACAATATTCTTAATCATCATCACAATTTAATTGCTAACAATCTTAGCCATCATTTTACCAACACAAACCTTGGTAATCATCACTCTCACTCTCATTCTCATCATTCTCAACAACAACAACAACAACAACATAACAATTTAATTACAAACAACAACCACAACCACAACCACAACAACAACAACAATGTAAACAAAAACATTAACCATTTGCCAACTTGTTCCCCACAGGAAATTAAACCGTTCCAATTACCACCGTACCAATGTCCACCGTACCATTTACCGCCTTATACGTTACCACCGTACCATTTACCAACCACAGCAACGTTTCATAACACTTTCACCGAGATTGCTCAGGTTCTGCTGGAATCTCAGAGAACCCTAAATAATGTTCATAGTTTATCTAAATTAAAATCAAGCCTGTCCACTACAATTACTGCAATTCCCACCATAATTAATGGTAACTGCAACGCTCATCATTTAAATCACCATTTACAAAACATCAACACCAACAATCATCATCGTAACAACAACAATACAATTGATTGTTTGAACAGTGCCAACAACAACAACAACAATCACAGTAATATAAGTAATTACTCAAAGATTAACAATCTACACCACCGGTCAAATAATAACGGTAATAGCGGCATCACCTGTAGTGGTAATAATAACAATGGTGATACAACAATTACTGTATTACCTTTGATTAATAATCGTAAATTAATTTGTGATGATGATTTTATTGATCGTTTTGAAGCTCCACTTGATTTATCTGTAAAAAAAGATACATCTAAATCCGTTCCAACTGATTTGTCATGTAAGAAAAGGCCACTGGTCAGTGATGATGATGATTCAGTCAACACCAATAATAAGAATACCAGTAAAAATAAAAGTAAATTAACTCGGTGGTGGTGGTGGTGGAAGTAGCAATTATATTGATAATATTCAAAGTAAAATTTGTTTCCAATCAAGTAAACGTACTAAGCAAACTAATCATCAACAATCATCAACTAATTTTCACCAGAAACAACAACGAAATCAACAATTTACTCCATCACCAATTTCACTGCAATCACAGTCTCAGGTATCAGTTACAACACCTACACAACAACAAGTAAATTGTTCACCAATTGGACAGATAAAAAGTCAATCAAATCATCAGCACCATCCACGAAAACAATCACCGATTCCGTTACCATCATCAGCATCTCCGGTTGAAGGTACATTAGCACCAACGACACCACAACAACCCAAACCCAAGAACCAGAGACAACCAACAACCTCATCTTCACCCTGTTCGAGTCAACAAAGTAGCCCAATGTCACCAATGTCACCGACGCAATTAAACACAATCAACAACACTACAACTAACAACAGTGTTAAAAGTTCACCAGCTCGTTCACAAAATGATCCTTTAGATGATTCAAATTGCCAATCACCATCATCTAACCAGAATAGTGATCATCTTCATCACCATCATCACAATAATCAACAATTACAATCTAGTATTACACCAGCAAGTAGCCTTATTTCAAACACTAATTCATCTTCACCGATTGATTTATACAATTCAGAGACCATTTTAAGTTGTGATAAATGTGAGAAAACTTTCAACAAATCAAGCTCATTGGCTCGACATAAATATGAACATTCCGGTAAGTTAATTACTTTCTAATTGATTACAATTAAATTCAATCAATCATCAAAAAGAAAGAAACAAACTTTCAATACAAATGATTCCATTCATTTATCTATATCTTTTTACTCTCTCTCTCTCTCTTGTTTTTCTATCTTTTTCATGTTACTAATTTTTTTTCTTCTTCTTTTTCTCCACCTACTTTTCCTCTCTCTCTCTCTCTCTCTCTCTCTCTCCCTCTCTGGTTTTTTACCTCCGTTCTCCTGATCCTCTCTCTGTCTCTCTCTCTCTCCGTCTTATTACAACAGGACAACGTCCACACAAATGCGATGTTTGTAGTAAAGCATTTAAACACAAACACCATTTAACTGAACATAAAAGACTTCATTCAGGAGAGAAACCATTTCAATGTAAAAAATGTTTGAAACGCTTTTCCCATTCAGGATCATATTCTCAGCATATGAATCACCGATACTCTTATTGTAAACCCTATCGAAATTAGCATCTCTCACCTTTAACCATTTTCCTTTCTCCCTTTCTCCCTCTTCCTCTCTCACTCCATCTCTCTCTCCTCTCCTCTCACTCTACACAACAACAACAACAATAACAACTTGTAAACCTTTGGACTTCTGGATATTCATTACCACAGGTCATCTCATCTTCATCTTCATCTCCATCTCCATCATCTTCATCTTCATTCATCTTCCAAGACATTCTTAGGCCTAAAAACAACAATGAAGCAAAACTTTTAATCTCTACAAAAAAATTAAATCATCTCTCTTTCTCTCCACCATGGAAACATCATGATAATCTTCATTCCTTTTAAATGATCATCTTTACAATCAAATCCCCTTTCTGTCTCTCTCTTTCTTTCTCCCTCTGGTTATCCCTTCATCCAAATCATCAGTATAAACAATTGATTAGCTTCTACTGTCCATCTTTAATTCAAATTGTATTTTATCAATTCTAAAATACTGTCCAAATTAATTTCTTTCTCTCTCTCTCTCTCTCCCTCTCTCTCTCTCTCCCTCTCTCTCTCTCTCCCTCTCTGGCTTTTTACCTCCGTTCTCCTGATCTTCTCTCTCTCTCTCCGTCTTATTACAACAGGACAACGTCCACACAAATGCGATGTTTGTAGTAAAGCATTTAAACACAAACACCATTTAACTGAACATAAAAGACTTCATTCAGGAGAGAAACCATTTCAATGTAAAAAATGTTTGAAACGCTTTTCCCATTCAGGATCATATTCTCAGCATATGAATCACCGATACTCTTATTGTAAACCCTATCGAAATTAGCATCTCTCACCTTTAACCATCTTCCTTTCTCCCTTTCTCCCTTTCTCCCTTTCTCCTCTTCCCTCTCTCTCTCCTCTCACTCTACACAACAACAACAACAATAACAACTTGTAAACCTTTGGACTTCTGGATATTCATTACCACAGGTCATCTCATCTTCATCTTCATCTGCATCTCCATCATCTTCATCTTCATTCATCTTCCAAGACATTCTTAGGCCTAAAAACAACAATGAAGCAAAACTTTTAATCTCTACAAAAAAATTAAATCATCTCTCTTTCTCTCCACCATGGAAACATCATGATAATCTTCATTCCTTTTAAATGATCATCTTTACAATCAAATCCCCTTTCTGTCTCTCTCTCTTTCTCCCTCTGGTTATCCCTTCATCCAAATCATCAGTATAAACAATTGATTAGCTTCTACTGTCCATCTTTAATTCAAATTGTATTTTATCAATTCTAAAATACTGTCCAAATTAATTTCTTTCTCTCTCTCTCTCTCTCTTTCTTTCACAAACCTACACAATCTCTAATTATTACAATATAATTAACTATTATTATTATGTATTATTATTATTTACTATTATTGTTGTTATACAAGAGAAAAAAAAATAATATAAATCATATGATTGTATTAATACAAGAAAATTAGATTGATTATCTTGCAACGAAAACAAAGAAACAAACAAAAAAAGACAAAATTTGACATTGAAGATGCTTCCAATTGCCATAAACACCAAATTGTAACATAATTAAAGAACTGGATTAAATTAAATCAACAACAATGATTACATATTCTCTCTCTCTAATTGTTTTCCTTTATTCACAACATATCATTAAACAATACGAGGGATAATCTACTGATATTGATTAACAATTAACTCTTTGGAAGTTAACAAACAGGTAACATGAAGCACCTCAAAGTTATTAATTGAATTAAAAGATTATCCCTTTGAAAGTGGATTATAAATGTTGACACCGAAAAAGGGATAATTTATTTACCTTTGATTTCTCATGTTAACATACACAATTTACTTAAGAAAATCCTTCTAAACAATTAAGATCAACAATCAAATTGTTTGTGTAAATGAACAATTTTAACACAAACTCGAAAGGAAAAAAAACTTCTCAGTCAAATGGAAAATGACAAATTGTAAAATGATGAAATTGCGACAATTAACTAGATCAAGTTAACCAAATGAATCAAATTACTTTTAATTGTAAGAATTAAATAGATGGCGTTAGTTAGAAGAGGAATAGGAAGACACCAAAAGGATTAGATTGTTGATTCTCTTGAAAAAAGTTTCATTTTCTAATGAAAACTGACCTGTGATAGAAAAACAAAAAATTCTCTTTTGATTGTTTACTTTTCTTTATCTTATCTTCTTTCATCTTCTTTCATCTTCATTCCTTTATCTTTCTCTCTCTCTCTCTCTCTCTTTTCATCTTCTGCTCCCTTTCATCCTTCCATATACCTCCCATCATAACCCTCCTTCTCATCTTCCTCATCCTCTCATATAAAATCAATTGTTTTACTTTTATTGTTTTTAATTTCGTCCCAAAAGATGACCAAAGTTATTTACTAGATCACCTGGTTGTCCAAACCTTTGACCATTTCTATTTAAATTACAGTTGTGATCACCTTTAACCCCATCATGGAAACAACAACAACAACAACAACAACATTTAAATCATTTACAAACCGTAAATTTAAGTGTCCCGAATGTGGTAAAGCTTTTAAATTCAAACATCACCTCAAGGAACACATAAGAATCCACTCAGGTGATAAACCCTTCCAATGTTCCCACTGTGGTAAACGTTTCTCCCACTCTGGATCATATTCATCACATTTAACAAGTAAAAAATGTTTCAAAGTTAATCTCAAAGTGTCCAACACCAACACCAACACCAACATAAACACCACCAACAACAACCACAATCACAACCAAAACACCAACAAAAACAACAACAATATTAACCATGTAAACGATAATAATAATAACAGTATAATGAATACCTCAACTAATGGTAGTGTCAATGGCAATTTAATTTCTCCTAGTGCTGTTAACAATATTCTTAATCATCATCACAATTTAATTGCTAACAATCTTAGCCATCATTTTACCAACACAAACCTTGGTAATCATCACTCTCACTCTCATTCTCATCATTCTCATTCTCAACAACAACAACAACAACAACAACATAACAATTTAATTACAAACAACAACCACAACCACAACAACAACAACAATGTAAACAAAAACATTAACCATTTGCCAACTTGTTCCCCACAGGAAATTAAACCGTTCCAATTACCACCGTACCAATGTCCACCGTACCATTTACCGCCTTATACGTTACCACCGTACCATTTACCAACCACAGCAACGTTTCATAACACTTTCACCGAGATTGCTCAGGTTCTGCTGGAATCTCAGAGAACCCTAAATAATGTTCATAGTTTATCTAAATTAAAATCATCCCTGTTCAACTCAATTCCATCTCTAATCAATGGAAATGCTCATCAACAACTTTCCATCAATCCATTTGACCCTTTCAACATATTCACTGTCAACAATCAATGGATGAATCGTTCAAACGACATTAATGTCAATAGTGGCCTCTCCTGTAATAATGACAACGAGGATAAATCAGTCGCTCTATTACCTTCGCTTGATTATTCACAATCAATTTTCGATGATGATTTTATTGATCGTTTCGAAGCACCACTTGATCTATCTTTAAAAAAAGATACTTTCATGTCCGTTCCAACTGATTTGTCATTCAAGAAAAGACCAATGGTCAGTGATGAAGATTCAGTGAACAGTAATAATCGAAATACCAGTGAAATGGAAAGTGCATTAACTTTTGATTGTAATTATATTGATAATATCGAAAGTAATATTTGTTTGCAAACAAACAAACTCTCAAAACAATCAAAGTATCAACACCATCCAAGAAAACGATCTATGATACCGTTACCATCATCAGTGCCGATGAGTGGCCTCATCTCGATCATCAATTCAACTTCACCGGTTGATTTATCTCATCCTGAGACCATTTTAAGTTGTGATAAATGTGAGAAAACCTTCAACAAATCAAGCTCATTGGCTCGACATAAATATGAACATTCCGGTAAGTTAATTACTTTCTAATTGATTACAATTAAATTCAATCAATCATCAAAAAGAAAGAAAGAAAGAAACTTTCAATACAAATGATTCCATTCATTTATCTATATCTTTTACTCTCTCTCTCTCTCTCTCTTGTTTTTCTATCTTTTTCATGTTACTAATTTTTTTCTTCTTCTTTTTCTCCACCTACTTTTCCTATCTCTCTCTCTCTCTCTCCCTCTCTCCCTCTCTGGCTTTTTACCTCCGTTCTCCTGATCCTCTCTCTGTCTCTCTCTCTCTCTCCGTCTTATTACAACAGGACAACGTCCACACAAATGCGATGTTTGTAGTAAAGCATTTAAACACAAACACCATTTAACTGAACATAAAAGACTTCATTCAGGAGAGAAACCATTTCAATGTAAAAAATGTTTGAAACGCTTTTCCCATTCAGGATCATATTCTCAGCATATGAATCACCGATACTCTTATTGTAAACCCTATCGAAATTAGCATCTCTCACCTTTAACCATCTTCCTTTCTCCCTTTCTCCCTCTTCCCCTCTCTCTCTCTCCTCTCACTCTACACAACAACAACAACAATAACAACAACTTGTAAACCTTTGGACTTCTGGATATTCATTACCACAGTTCATCTCATCTTCATCTTCATCTGCATCTCCATCATCTTCATCTTCATTCATCTTCCAAGACATTCTTAGGCCTAAAAACAACAATGAAGCAAAACTTTTAATCTCTACAAAAAATTAAATCATCTCTCTACTTTTTTGATCTTTATCATGATGACCTTCATTCCTTTTAAATGATCATCTTCACAATCAAGTCCTCTTGTTATGGTTATACCTTCATTCTAATCATTAATCAAGTATAAACAATTGATTAGCTTCTATTGTCCATCTTTAATTCAGATTGTATTTTATCAATTCTAAAATGCTATATGTGTTTTCTACACACAAAAGACTTTAAAATAAACATTCATTTATAAATCATCTTATCTTTTGGTGTTCAACAAGTGGGTCTACAAATTTTGACCTTTTCTTTTTTTTTTGTTTTCTTCTTTTCGTGTAACTATTTATTCATTGATAATCATCAATCCCCTTTGTAAACTAATCGAGGAAATGATAATAAACTTTCAAGGAATTTCGAAAAGGCAATGACAATATTATCTTTGTAACGAGGTCCAACTATTTGCAAAGCTAAAGGTAAATTTGTTGACTTTGAAAGGGCACAAGGTAAACTTAAGGCCGGAAGTCCGGCCAAGTTTGCAGGTTGAGTACAATAGTCTTCGTTGATGGCATCTTTACGGTTCCATTCCGAGTATGTACAAGAAGAGGTTAAAGTGACCGGTGTTAAAAGTAGATCAATTTTCTGGTCATTGAAAACCTTATCAAAATCATTGACAATTAATCTTCGAACTTTAAGAGCTCGAAGGAAAAAATTTTCATAATTTTCTTTTAAAAGGAAATAATTTCCAGCCATGATTCGACCTTTCACTTTTTCACCCAAACCTTCATCTCTTGATGATGTAATGAAATTCTCAAAGGTTTCATTGTCTGGGGAATTAATTTCAATCTCTGATGAAGATAATGAAGAAGGAGAAGGAGAAGAAGAAGAAGAAGATGATGATGATGATGATGAAGGTGATGATGAAAGTGATGACGTTGAGTTTGTCCTGGTTTCTTTGGTTAATGTTTTACTGTTCACTTTGGAGGTGGTCAGTACTTTTCTCGAACGATGTCCATACTGAATACCATCGTAACAGGCAAAATTTGAGGCCACTTCAGCTTGATTGATAACAGAATAACATGATAATGAATAAGGTGTATGGGGAAGTGAAACTGGTACCACAGAGATGCCTTTAGATTTTAAAAGGTTAACAGTTGAATTGATTAGTGACTGAATCTCTGGGGATATAAATTCAGGAAGATACTCATCGGGTAAACCAATGGTCAGTTGATTAATGGGCAATTCTGTTCCCAGAGGTTTGTACGGATGATTCCTTGAACTGGTTGAGTCTTTTACATCCCAACCTTGGATAGATTGGAAAACAATTTCAACATCGTCAACGGTTCGACCCATTATCGCAACCGTATCCATGGAATGGGTTAAAGGTACCAAACCATAACGGGAACAAGCTCCATAACTTGGCTTAAAGCCGACGATACCACAATGGGCGGCAGGATTTCTTACAGAACCACCGGTGTCCGAACCAAGTGCAGCGTAAACAATTCCTGATGCAACAGCAACAGCAGAACCTCCAGAACTACCTAAAAGAATATTTATAAGAGAGTGAGAGAGAAAAGAAATCAAATTATGAATATCAATTATCTAAGTAATGAAGAGATAGATCATTTGCTTTTGTTCTTTTTTTAATCTCTTTTTTTTCTCTTCACATCCTTTAAGAAAAAAGAAAGTGAATCAAGAAAAGAAAGAGAAAGAAAGTAAATGATGCCTGCAATATGGAGGAAATATGTGAAACTATGATGAGTTGCCGACGATTTCTTGGAACCAGAAACACATTGTTGTTTTCTTTTTCCAGTGAATCTTCAGGAAGAGGAGATAGAAAGATGCGGCTCAATATGCTCTAATTAGAGTAGCATTAATTGGTTGATATGTAAAAGAGAAAGAGAGAGAAGATGAACCCATATGGAAAAGATGATGAGCTCGCAGAAAGATTTTCATAAGCAAGAGAAAATTGTTAAGATAGGTGGGAATCGCCTTCGGTAGATTAAAGAGAAGTGGACAGAGAAAATTAATCCAGTTATCTTAGTCTTGGTAATCCAATTAATAAGAATCACGGAAGGTCAAGAGGGAGAAAGAGATTTAGATAAGAGATGATAGAGAGATTAAAGCGCTGAGTTAATCTAACCTAAAGAGTTGATTAAAAGCCGCTGATATTCCGGTTGATGAGTCATCTTGATTTTCTTTTCTTCTCTTCTTTGTTGCTAAGGCAACAAATTTTCTTAACAATTGTACTTAATTGTTGAGAGTATTTTCTGCGGTTTTACACTAAATTCTTTTTAAGTACCTCCACTTATGAACCATTCATCAGGATCATGATTCTCTTCATTTGAATGGACAATCTTATCATTTGTTGGGTCAATCGCTTGAAAGGGTAACCCTGAATTCCATGGGTTATAACAGGGACCGAAAATTGAATCAACTCCTCCACATCCCATGGCAAATTCATCTAAATTTGTTTTACCCATTAAAAGGCTTCCATTGGTTTCGATTAATTTATCAACTACAGTCGCTGAATAAGGTGGGATAAAATTTTCCAACATTTTCGATGCACAAGTTGTCTTTATGCCTTTGGTCATGAAATTATCTTTAACAGCAATCGGTATACCATCAAGGACTCCTAATTGTTTACCTAATTACCAGGTAAAGGATAAAAATAGAGAGAGAGAGAGAACAATTAAACTTTTAGAACCAAATAGAGTAAGGATTCTAAACCTTGATCAAGATTTAAAATCTTTTTCTTCTTCGTCTTAGGATAATGTGAATCTAATTCTCACCTGATATATACCGTTGACTAGATTTCTCTGCTTGAGAAATTGCTTCGTCCGCTGTAATTGTAATTAAACCATTTAATTGTTTAGTTTGATTGACTCGCTTTAAACAAATTTCACATAATTGGGTTGGAGTAATTTTACCAGAAACTAATAGTCTATGTACATCACTTATCTTGGAAGATAATAGATTACTAGATGTAGCCATTAGTGAGAGTGAAAATGCAGAAATTAATTCTGATTGTCAACAATTAACTAATTAAACAAAAAATTAACGAAAAGTAATTTAGAAATATTAACAAATTTAATCACAGAAATAAAAACAAATCTTCAAATGTGTTGGTAACAAAACTAAGTAACCATGGAAACGAGAGGAACCGCCAAGTTCAAAGGTTACATTAAATTCACAATTAAAACAAATTTTTTATTTTCACTTATTAAATTGCGACAATTAAAACTGATTAACATTCACAATTAAGGCTAGAAGAAGAGTGTTTATTTAACCATTAAAGTAGAAGATAATTAATGTTTAATGGGAGGTTAAGACAATTTATCGAGTTGATATTTTCTTTTTATTCTGAAACTTGAATTCAATTGTTGGTCACAATTAAAGCTAATTGTTGAGAGAGAATGAGAGAGTTAGTGAGATAATTAACTCTCACCAGTTAATTATCAGATTCGTGATATCAATAAAATCAAATGATTTAATCAGATGTTCAAATAAATTACAACACTTATCAAATCAACTGATGAAACTTTGATTGTGTCTCATCAATTGTAATTGTTATTTACTTGTGATGGTGATGATTTGATTTCCCAATTGTTATTAATTAACTACCTGTGATTATAAAGCAAGGAAGACATTTAATTATTAAAACAACAAGACAACAACAACAACAATTAACAACAATCAAAGGTAAATAAGTAATATAATTATAACCTCCAACTGAGAGTGATTAATATTATCTGATAATAACAATTTCTGATTAATTGATAACAATACAAACTGGTGATAATTATTGATTTAATCAAGTGTTTACAATCAAATAGTACATTTTATATGTGTGGTAGTTAATTAAAGGGTTCAAATTGGTTAATTAACTTTGATTAATTAAAGAGGAAGGAAAAAAACTGAGAAAACAAAATCTTCAATTTTTTGAAAACCATTGAAAAAAAAGACAAATAAATTAAAATCACAATTAAAAATTGATTGTCCATCAAGTTAATCAACTGTATATAGATTTTACCATCAACAACAATTAAGATAATGATTAACTAAACATCAGCTAATGATGATCCGTTAATCTAGATATTAACCAGCAGGTTTGATAAGATAAGGTAAATTGTTTAAGGTTTTAATTGTTGAAACGGATTAACTGATTAACCATGAACCGTGTAGATGATGATTAATTGTAAACACTGATAACAATTAAAGAAACTTTAATCAACAATTTAAATCTTAATTGGCTAATTAACCTCCAAAGTAAAACAGTTTAAATGGTAACTAAAATTTTCCCATTCTCTTTAAATAATAATCAAAGTATCCACAACAATTAAACCCGAGCAATTTAAAACCTTAAATTGATTAACTTGTTAATTTAGTTAATTGTTTCCAAATCAGAAAGCTAAACATAAGTTTAATTGATTAAAGGGGAATCCAAGTTAATTTTAATCAGAAATCAATAAGAGCCTGAAAATTGTTACTAAAGTAAAATTAAATTCTGATTCTGATTCTGATTCTGAATATTTTATTCAGAGTAAAGTTCAGAACAAAGGAAGAAGTGAAAAAAAAAGAAAATAGGATGAACAAAGATTCATTGTCTCCATGAATTTATCATGAAAATCCTTTCAAAGTCCACAGTCTGAATGCTCTAAAGATTATGTTTCATTTTGTTCAAATGGGAAATGAAAATTTCATCAGTCTTTTTAATATGTACTGAATTTCATGATTACTTTTTTATTTACCAACTGAATTGCGATAAAATTTTCATGGTAATCATCATTAATTTATTGAATACCTGATTATCGTTAATACAATCAATTGTATTTACTTTGATACGGAATATCATGATTGTAAGTGAATGGAAGGAGAAGAAGAAGAAGAAAAAAGTTCTGGATTGAATTCTGGAAGATGAAAATATCTATTGAATATAATAAATCCATGAGAATCTAAAATTGATCAGCAGAATTCAAATGAATGAAAATGATAATCCAACCCAATTGGAAGATGATCAATCATCATGGTGGTCATCAGACTTGTGTAATCATCCCTTTTTTCCCATGATGATGATGATGATCTTGAAACAATCAGTGATGATGAAGATGAAAATTTCTAAACTCATAAACATGTAATATTTTTCATTCATTCATCATGATTCCTTTACAATTGAATGAAGATGCTACCAAATGCTTAAGGATAAACCATTGATAAAGTTGCTTTTTGATGACCAACAATATGAGATGATGATGATGACATTTTAATGACATTAAACTAACCAGGTAATCATAGTGTCATCATCATCATCATCATCATATGATTATTATTATTATTATTTGTTATCATCATCATGATAATGTGTCTCAGATGAGATAAAAATATCAGAAACTGAATCAACTATTAATAACAATAGTTATAGTAAAGTGGGCTGATGATGATGCTAATAACTTTTAACTAATCAAATTATATTGATATGGTTGATGATTTTGATTATGATAATGATTATCTGATTATTAATCATCATAAATATTGGTAATAAACATTAATCAGTTGATCATTTTTACTTATCTATTGAAATGATAACCATTAAGTATAATCATCATCATCATTCAGATTCATTCCGATAATATTACATATGTATCTAGATTAAGGTTCAGTTTTATCATCATCATGATGAAGATGATTAACTTCCTGTTGTAATTGATCAAAATCAAACTTCCTAATGTCAACAACCTGATGTATCAATTATATATATAAGAATCAATATAAATTCTGGTGAAAGTTATGAAGAAATTTTTTTACCTTCAATTTTCAAATCAATCTAATTTCTAATTTCTTTTTGTTGTGAACAAAAAATCGTAGAAACTTCATGAAACTCGTTGATTATGTTATAGATCAGGGGAAAGAAAAAAAAATTCTCGAACTCTCGAACTGAAACTTTCGAAACTAAACTTTTTATGTAAACTCATGACCTTTTCTTTCCCTCATCATCTTCATCATCCAGTTGATTTCTATCATGATAATGGTCATCATATGATTGATTTAGATTAGAACTTTTTTTAGATTCTTTTTTCTTTCTTTTCAAAAGTTGTAAAACTTTGATTATATAAACTGACAGTTTGATTAACTATTTCATTGAGTAGCAATTTAAATTTTCAAATTACTCTTTTTCTTGATAATAAATCAGATGAATCACTAAATTGTTTGGTCTAAATATTTCAGGTTAAGATTCAGAGTAATGGTCAATAAGACAATATTTGATTATTATTGATGAGAAATTAGCTTTGATTAACTGATATGATTTTGATACAAGAAAAAAAGTGTTGATATATTAATAATTTAATTTCCAATTAACTCTCAATGGTTACAATTAGCTAATCATTTGTATTGTCAATACAATGAGATGTTCAAATGTATTGAGATATTAAATGAATGAGATCCAGTTTGACCAAAAAGATGATGATAATAATAATAGTTAGTTGTTGGTCTTCAACATGATCATGACAATTATACTTACGATATCACCATTAACACTGACCATTGGTCAATCTTTATCAATCCTTGGGATAATTTTGTCCTTTGATTGTTATTAACAATTTGAATTGTATACAAGGCAAAACAATCAACCTAAATAATATTTCACTCATGGTGAGCTTAATGATGTTATCATCAAATATACAGTATACATGATGATTGATTCACCATTGATACATATTCAAGGTCGTAATCATGAGTTTATCAGTTGGTTACCATGAATTACTCACAGGGATTTTGATTATCATCATGTTCATCTTGATGATCATGTTTTGTTGGTGTTTACTGATGAAATATTTAGTTAAGGTAATTGTTAAGACAAGAAAAACAATCTGCTAAATGATATTATTAGTATTATTTTTATCACCATGTTAGTATTGATTGAAACTGAACAACAAGAAAAAATAATTCTGTTGGTGAAACTCAGATTATATTGTTATTGTTGGATAACAAGTCTCAAGAAAAACTGTTTAGTATCATCATGATTATGATTAGTACATTTAAGAAAGAGGGAAATGGAAAGGAAGGAAAAAAATTCTCAGAATTATATTCTCTGTATAAGAATATGAATAAAATGAAATCATGTAAGTCTTTCAATGGAATTAGACTGAACTTTTTTTTTGCTTTTTTTCCCTTCTATCTCAGGTAACTGTTAATACCAACAACAACAACTTCAGCACAAAAGTATATATTATTAATGGTAATCGGGGTTCATGGTGGTGGTGGTAAAGAGGGAGTGAGGTGTTGATTAACTTTCATCTCTCAGTGAGTTCATTGGATTTAACTCTCTTATTTCCATGCATGATTAGATTGCTATAGTTAATCTTATGATTCATGTAATATGCAAACTCACAAATAAATACACAATCTGATTACATGGAAGCTCAGATAAGATTTACATGGTGGGTAAGAGGAAAGAGAGAGAGAGAGAGAGAGAGATTCTCACCCATTTTCATCTTTCTCTCTAATGAATATAAACCAAATATTCACTGAGAACTTTTTCCCTCCCAGAACTTTATATTCTTTTGCTCTCTTACAATTCTAGAATTTTATTCGCTTTGATGATAAAGAAAATTTTTCCAATTCTTTGCATGGAAGAAAACACTTTAAACGAATTAGCTTTAGTTTATCAATAATCATGAAACGTAGCAGAAAAGACGATGAAAATTTCCGGAAACATCGAGAAAAAAGAATTAGAAACAAAAAGTTCTTTCGAATCAAAAAACTTTTTCACCAGCCCAGTTTCACCCTCATCACCATCACTACCACCAAATATGCTGACACTTAAAATTGAGTCTCAGAAAAACCGATTAACCATGATAAACGTCATCATCAGAATTATCTGTTCACCATCATCAACATGGAGACGGAAAAAAAGTCATCTCACTTTTTTATTTCCTCGATAACAACAAAATTCAATTATGAATTTGCATTAATCATTGGTTAAGTGAGTCTATTTCCCTGATAATTAGCAGATAGTAAATTAAAATAAGCCATCAGAATTAATCAATCAAGTAATGAATTCATATATACATTAACGTAAAAAAAAGTTCATCCATCCTGAGTACTCAGAATAAGACAGAAAACATCATGAGCAACAAAAGGTAAGTTGAAACTGAGAAAAGAACATAAAAAACATGAATAAGATTTACATCTTTACATTTCGTCTTAAATATTAAATTAATCTTCTTACATCCTGAGTTTCAATATAATCACACTGAAAATGATCAAACTGAATTTCCCCTGAAGGTGTCAAATGTTATAGATAAAAAAGCACGTGACTTACATGGTGTAAATTATTGAGACTTTCATGATAAATGAATTCACCAAATTGAGAAGATTTTTTTTTTCCTTTCCAATACTTTTTCCCATTGATGAGTTTTCCTGATGAATGAAAACAGAAACGAAAATTTTTTTTTCTTTTACATTTTGATGAATCCAAATGGAAATAATTATTTTGTATACATTGATTGTTAATTACTGTTCTAATTAATTTGGAAATGTTAATTGAATAAATGTTAATAACGATAAATGGCTAATCAAAATTCATGAGAGTAACTTTTTAACAGCTAATTGGATTGAATTTGGATTCTGAACAAGGGATAGATTTTCATGAATGAATTGTAATTGAATAATAACATTTGTAGCTTGTATTTAGAGATGAAAATTAATCATGTTTAACAGTTTGATTGTTTACCAATCATAAATCATTGACAATTAGATGGTAAAGATTAAATTGGATTAAATTGTTGATGAAAAAAAAAATCAATTCATCTGAGATTTTGGTCAATCTCTTGTTACCTTTTTATCAATGACACAACATAGTGATTGTTAAATTGTTCCCAAACAATTTACCTGATTAAATTTCCAATTGATTAATAGCTTTGTACTGTGTGTTAGTTAATTGTCAAAATTTAATAAGAAAAATAAAATAAAGACCAATGGATAAGATGATCTTTTCCAAGTCTCAAGTTGCCACAAAGATTATCCTGATATCGTTGAGACAATCAACTTTATTAGAATTGAAAATAAATTGTCATCACTAGTTTAAGATTATTGATTAGTTTAGATTATGAAAGTTTCCCCTGTTGATTAAGTATATTGCTCAACGATATGATTACTTATATAATCATATGAGTTTTTTTTTTAATTAACTTTCAAATGAATCAATTTATTTATTTGATTAGTTGTCAATTAAATAAACCATTTGGTAACTAGGTAAATTAAGTTAATCAAGATTGATATTTCAAATCAAATGCAATCCAAACGTGTCCAACAATTAACAGTTAATCATATTTATATTATTAATTATGGGAAAACAATCATCAATGGATTAACATTGATTGGGTTAGTGTGATAATTTTTGCTCTAGTATTTTGTTTTTGTTTTTTTGATAAAATAAATAAGAAACTGATCAAAGATTAACAATTTAATCACAAGCAATTTAAGTTAATCACTTGTCATTGATTAACTTTCAATTCTTACTGTGTAAACATGTACAACTTAACTGGACATGCTACATGTCCAGTTTCAGTGTTGTAATCAAAATCTTTAAATGATTCATGGTGATGATTATGATAAGTGATTAAAACGTGATGATTAATGATAACCTATCATAATTAATATCATCGTTACCATGATGATGAACATGATGGTGATGATGATTAAGATAATATGAGAAAAGTAAACATGGCAAAGGTAAATTATCATTTATCCTGATTAATAATCATCATCAATTTGGTAGATAGATTTTACTTTTTTTTGTATTATGTTGAAATTGTTATTCATCTAATTCAATTATTTATCAATTCTTACCTGAGCAATTTACCTGATGATAATAAACTCAACTTCTAAATGATAATCAGTTGATTGTTACTTGGAAAATGATAATTCTGGTGATGGTGGTAAGTAAGTCATTGGAAATACGATAACAGAATAAATTAAGTTCCCTTTGACTGTTCAGAAGTCATGAGGAAATGTTTATTTAATTCAGTCAAGTTTCATGGTGAACTCATGGTAATCATAATATTTGTTTCATTGTATTCCAATTCAGTTAGAGTTTAAATTTCATTCATTTCTATGAAAATTATTTTCTTTCAAGTGATAGAAAAGTTTTCCATTTGTTTTTGGAACTTTTTATTTCTCTGAATTTTTTTTCTCCATCAATTTGACTCTGGAATATTTTTACAGGTAAAACATTTTATTGATTCATGAAATGAATGAATGGTCAATGGGAAAAGTTATTGGCTATAATATTAATTTACATTATTCATGTTTTTATTTTCAGGGGGTTTCATGTTAATTTACTTGAATTTTAATAAGTTACTTCTCATTAGATTTGGAAATTAAACTTTTCTTTTACATGGTAAATATTCAGCATTTCAGTAACAAGTATATATAAATGTGTGACGCTGATTTTGTGTCTATGTGATAATTTTTGGTCTAATGTTGACCTTTGGTGGTTATCGGTAGAGAGGTTGATGTTGATTCTTTGAAAGATCGTGAGCTAATTGAGTTGATGGGTCGATGAGAAGATGAATGAATTGATGAACCGATAGCATCTCTTGTGAATGAGGGATAATTTGGTGTTTTCTTAAGACAACGGAAAAGATATTTATCAAAGTGAGTTCTAAAGGAACCGGAAACGATGTAAAGGGCAACCGGATTAAGACAAGAGTTACCAAAGGCAAGGATAAAACCAACAATTCTAACATAATGCCAGAAGGGGGTTGAAGCTAAAAAGGAAATTGGATAAAAGTAAAACCATATCATGAATACATGATTAGGGAAAAAGCAGATTGCGAACAGTATTATAAAGGATAGGACAGTTTTGGCCACTTTGGTTCGAGCCTTGGTTAATCTAAGGTGTGTTTGGTTGATTCCGTTTGATGAGGTTGCTGAAAGTGAACGCTGTGTATTGGCAAGTAGATGACGAGCCATCGCCAGGTAAAAGACACTGATGATGAAAAGGGGAAGAGCATAGAGAATGATAAACTTGGTCAGCACAATGAATTTGGCGTAATTGGTTCCTAAGGAGGCTGGAAATGGATAACATATTGAGATTGTTTTCTCAGGAGTTATTGGAATTTGCATGACAAATGAATTATATGCTCCAGGGAATGCAAGGAGAGAGGCGATTGTCCAAATTGACGCGGTTATGGTCAAGGTTAACTCTTTATGTTTGGTTGAGGTGAAACGTTTTAATGGAAGGACAATTGCCATGTAACGGTCAGCAGAAAGTACGGTTAAAGAGAAAACGGTTACACCTATGGACACATCACGAACAAATTCCGATAATTTACAAAGAAATTGACCGTAAGGCCAAGAATCGAAGGAGTAAATGGTTGAAACAAAGGGTAAGGCACCGGTAATAATAAGTAGATCACCAATGGAAAGGCTTATGATGTAAGTGTTGGGAATTGTTCTCATTGATTTATTACGTAAAAAGACAAATATAATTGTACCATTTCCTATCAAGCCGATTATGAACAATATTCCAAACACGATTGGTACGATATATGTTTCAGGTCGATATTCATATGGTACATAAGTATCGTTGTCGGATAGAGTTCCGTTGAATTTTAAGTTTATTGTATCAGTTAAAATGGTTGAATTCTCGTTGTTCAATGATATGGATGATGGTGAAGATGATGATGATGATGATGATATTGTTGATAAGGAGTCGAAATTAAATTGTAATGAAGGATAACCTTGATTAGAAGATGAGTTTGAATTTAATTCGAAAAAATTAATCGAATAGTAACTTGATGAAGGTACAACTTCACTTACAATTTGGACAATTGTTTCGTTCATAATTGTTTTCAATTCTAAAAACTGATTGTTAATTTAGATTAATGATTTACTTTAATTCCGATTGATAAGCGATAACAAATTCATTGGAAACCAATTGATTGATCAATATGTTCAAACTGTTCAACCTTATTTGAGGTACATCTCATTAGAACAAGAACTTTTTGTTTCATCATCATTCTCATCAAAAAACTTTCTCCTCGAATCGAGATTAGAACTTTTCTCTTGTAGAATACCATTGGTGCCATCTATTGGTAGAAAATGTCAACTCACGAAAAGTTTATCGAACAAAAATAAAAAAAAGATTCGAGAAAAGAGATACAATAAGTAAAATTACTTATTTTTATCGATTATTAGACAAGAAACTTTTTTTGCGACAATTGATCGACTGATAAGTTCCCATAAAGATCAATATTTTCACTGATGAAAATCTTGATTTTGATTGTGCTTATTGAATTTGAGGAAATCGGTCAGTTAAACTTTCTTTAATTATTTTGTTCTAATAATTATCACCAACACCTAATTTTGTGATTTGATTCGCGTTCATGGTTGAAATAATTCTTACTAAATTAACCCTCAATCAAATTCATCGATCGCAGAATTTACGAGTAAAAAAAAGTTCTAAACACTATTTTCCTTTAGAACTTTTTTTCCTCTCTGATTTGTTTTCTTTTCTATTTTACGCCAGACTTGTGATTCCAATATGACAGCTATCAAAGTGTATTTCGAAAACGATTGGCTCGAAAGAAGAGAGGAAAAGAGAGATGATGATGATGGAAAAGAGAGAAGAAAAAAGATGATTGAAGTCTCATGAGAGTAGTAAACAATTTCTTCCATTGTTTTTTGTTCAATTCGAATCTCTGAGTTGTTAAGTTTCTCTTATTTCTCTTTTTTTTCAAACAAAAATCTTCGATTTCATTGAAACTGTTGAAAAAGACGAAGAGCAGAAAGAAGAGAGAGAGAGAGAGAGAGAGAGAGAGAGAGAGAGATGAGAATGAGAGCAAAAGAAATCGAATAGAAAACATTCAATTCGAAATAACTTGTTTGGAAACTTATGAATATCACCAAAGTGAACTGTTGATAGAATCGAAATTGAAGATCAATATTCATTACCATCTAACCGGAAAGAGAAAGAGAGAGTGAGAGAGAAAACCTTAGTCTAATTGAAAGAGAATAAAAAAATATTCGAATTCTAGTTTTCTCTCCAAAAATTTCTTCCAAATCCTCAATGAAAACTAATATTTTTCAAGGTCAATTGAATCAATGGCACATTTACAATCATTAACATCTAATATTCCATAAGCTTTATTACAACATTAAGAAAAACCAACAAAGATCTCACCCTGAATCATTTACATAATTTATCATCACCAGGTATCATCTTCCATATTCATAATATACCTTTTCAATATCAATTCTCAGTTCAATAATCTGATATTTCCTAATAGACTGATCCATTTTCATAGATTGACCATTGTATCCATGATATACTTTATTACAATACAACAGTAAACGACCTCAGTGATAATAAAACCATGTAACATGATGACCAGTTGAATTGAGTGAAACTTTTGAATGAGAATTTTAAAAAGCTCAACTTATTGTTATATTTTATATTAGCTGAATATCAACTTTCCAACTCCCACTCTCAACTTTACCCTGAAACTGTTATCAACCATAAAAGTATATTAATGTATATGACTTTTCAGAATATTGAATTTTCCCTTCATATGGATTCAGAACTTTTTTCCAATTCATTCATTCTGTTACCATGTGATATTCAACTGGATCTTATTACCAACCCTTAACCACCCCGTTCAAAGTTTCAATCCAATTGATATCAGTTTAATAATAGTTACATGTTCAAATGTTTTTTGTATTTCTTTTACTTATACAACCGATTATTACATTTTTCTTGTTGTTATTGTTCATCTTCATCATCATCATCATGATTATCATGAAATAATATATTGTTTACATGACATTATAACCACATGATTGAAGCAACATGAATGATAAACAACATTTATCATGCACTTGAAATTCAATATATTAATATAACAGAATATCAAAACAAACGAGCTTTAATAATCATAACGGTAAATATATCGAAGGTATAAAATACATAGATCCCAAGTTTAGTGAACTAAATACATGACAGGACATGAAGTTTTAATATATTAAATTGTTGAGTTAATCAGATGATAAATTGAGATGAAAATTAAACGATTTACTATTCGATTGTATATTAAAACGAAATTCAATAATTTATCAGATTATTTTCGGATCCATTTTGATGGGAGTGGATAAAAGTTGAGAGAGAGAGAGAGAGTTTATATTGCAATATTATTACATTGAATTAAGTTGGATGGGATATGTAAAGTTGGTTCCAAAGGAGAAACGAGAGTTTGAATTTTATCCTGATTGAGTAAATATTTACATGGGAATCATCAATACTCATAAAGTGTTCATAGTCATGATGAAGATCGTCATGGAACTGAAATTTACTTTTCTCTATTTATGTCTCTTTCTTTTTCTGAAGTTACTTTTTTTGTTCCATTTTATCTTACTCGATGAAAATCCAACTGTATATTTGTTCAAGTATTTTCACAAGCAAATACAAATAATAGCAAATGCAAATTCGAAATTCCGAATTTATTCCATAGGGCGCGGGAGGGTTGGGCTGATAAAGCTCAGGTGAATAATGGAAGATTAGGAAATTCATGGAAGGCTTCAGATTATGAATGAATCTGACGAGGAAGACAAGATAGAGAGAGAGAGAGAGAGAGAGAGAGAGAGAGAGAGAGAGAGAAGGAAGTGAAAAACGAGAGATGAGAGGGAAAAAGGAAATATTTTTTTCTCTACTTTGACTCGGGCAATCGAAAAGAATTTATTTTATTCTATCGATTCAGATTTTCTATCATCATGGGGACTGAACATTTGTTTACTTAATCTTCTCATCCAATTGAAGTTCACTTTACCATTTATTTAAGTTTCTTATGGAAGATTGTCAATGAGAGAGAATGTGAGATGATGATCAAGATGAAGATGAGTAAAAAAAGTTCGAAATCAGTTTGTAATTCGTGATCGTAATTCCTTAAATTCCAAGGCTTGTGACCAATTTACAAGGAGAGAAAAAACTTTACATCTCTCTCTCTCTCTCTCTCTCTCCTTAAACATCCTCAATCTCTTTCATTTTATATTCCAAGTCAGAAATTGTCAACATCACATCGATTCCATATCCAGGGTAACCATCATGAACATTATGTACAGGAAAAGAAATGAACCTTTTCTCCCTCTCATCAGAATCTAAATGTTTACATCAATTCTGTTTCATTTCATTTCATTAACTCTGAATACCTTTTTTCTCCCCTGCAAACTAATACTTGGTGCAATTGATGCAAATTTTTCAGCTTCATTGAATAATAATCCACTTCACCTGAGTTTTCATCATCATGCAAAGCACAAGAAAAAAAATTTAGCTGACAACAAGAATATTAACCCAATAATAAATATCCACCACCTAAATGTTTAATCATTTTGATCCAATTTAAAGTCAAAAGATTATCAATCTCATTAATCTTGAGAGAAACAAAATTAATCAGTGAAAATTTGGAGATATAATTTCAATCTCAATGTAAATCAATTGATAATGTTGATGATGATCAACATGAATATCATGTTTCTCTGATTATTTATTTACTGTATTACAAAATAATCCATCTGAATATTATCAGAATTTTGGTAAATATCTTTTTCCATGAAGAAAAACTCTCTCTCTCTCTCTCTCTCTCTCTCTCTCTCTCTCTCTCTCTCTCTCTCTCGTACATTTCTTTCAAATGATTATCTCACTTAATCACATTTGTAATGATCAACTTCATGAAACATGAGAAGTAAATGAATGGAAAAAAACTTTATAATAAATTTTATCATCATAATCATCATCTTATAATAATCTTAGGAGATGATGAGAGTAGCTGAAGAAAAGAAAGAAAAGTTTCAGAGGAAATCTTATTTTTTGCTGTTTCGAAAAAGAAAAGGATGAACTTCTCTATTCGAATTGAAATATTAACCTGAATATGAAAAAAAGTTCATAAGTAATTCTTTAAATTCACCATCGTCAAGTAAGAATTAGTTGATCCTCATCATTCTTAATCTTCATTATCTTGATAATCTTTTCTATTTACTCTGTTTATCTCTTTCTCTCTTTACCAGTCAATCTCTTTTCATCAGATTTACGCCATTTCTTATATTCACAAGCCTTAATTGTATCAATGGAATTCATCGTTTCATTCAGATTATCTCATTACCCATGATAAAAACAATCTACAACTTGAGAGATAAATTTTCAAATAATCAGCTGAAATCTGATATTCCAAGAATTTAACCAAGAAAGAGATCGAATAATATTTTCTTGGATAAGACCCAAAGACACACTAATCTCTTATCCCTTTTCTGTTTACTCTTCAATCCTAATCTCGTTTTCTGAACAAGTTGTTGAAAGAATCGATCAACTGAGCCAACCCTTGTATCGGTCAATCCAATAAACAGTTAACTCGAAAAACAAATTCCAAGTTAATTAGCTCCAATTGTACATCAAGTAAATTCGAATATTAATCAAATTATAATCGACGATTAACCAGAGAGAGAACAAAATCTTTACTTTTTTCGAACTTTACACTGGCGACATCTACATTTTCTTTTTCTTTTTGCACAGTCGTTGTTTCTCATTTCGAGTTTCGATAATATCTCATTCCATTTATTTTCTCATTTTATTTTCTATTCTCATGGATGCAACAACAAATTCTGTTAATAGTTATCTCTTTTCAATTTTTCTCTCGTGGTTTTAAATGTTCTTCCATCAAACTGATTGGAATTTAATTGTTCCAAACAAATTGAATCTCACCGATAACCTGAAACTCTTATTTCTTCAAGTTTTCCTCTTAATTCTCTTCAATCAATTCATCATCATCTTCTTTTCATCCAATATTATCATTATTATTCTTTCATGGTGATTATGTATCTAACCATTTTCTCTTCACTTTCTTTTTCTTCTCTCTTCTCTTCAACCTCTCCCTTTGTTTTCACCCTCACAACCGCTAATTTACAAAACTTCTACCAACATCCTGGCTCATCTTCTTCATCTTCATCTTCATCCTCATCCTCCTCATCTTCATCCTTAATCTCACCACATTCAATTCCACAACGTGCCAAATGTGACACTGCCCTGAGTATTTGTTCCCGTGATATGAGATGTGCGATGGCCTTACAAGACTATCGGACATCATGTTCCCACCTATTGAACAA